GCTTCCAGGCAACCTCTGATTCTCTGATTCTGGAAGTCATGCCCACAACACGCCCCCAGCGCCATCTTACAGCACACAGCAGAGAAGAAGAAAACCGGCTGGAGGGCGCCACAACTCCCGGAGAATTCTCGGGGCCCCATACAGAGCCAATATCACCAGTAGGTCCCAAATGGGGTAAGTGCTGTCTCCCCGCCTTCTCCAGATGGAATCCCTGTGACCATGAGCTTCTACAAGCATGACTCTGACATGTGAGTACCAGGACATTTCCTAATATACAAAGTGATCAATGGAAAGTAAATGATCTAGCATTTGTCCCTGAAAAACAGGCTTGAATGGTGGTAAGAAAATCTGAGCAATCATCTAATCTTTGATAAAGGTGCAAGTAATGTGAAGTGGAGTAAGGAAAGCCTCTTTAATAAATTGTGTTGGCATCACTGGACGGCTACATGCAAAAAAATAGGCTCAGAACTCTGCCTAACACCATGTACAAAAGTAAGATCAAAATGGATTAAAGACCTCAACATCAGACCAGAAACCATAAGGTACATTGAAGATAAAGTTGGCAAAACCCTCCATGACATTGAAGCTAATGGTATCTTCAAAGATGCCACGCCACTGGCCGAGCAAGTGAAAACAGAGATAGATAAATGGGACTATCTTAAACTAAGAAGCTTCTGCACCTCCAAAGAAACAGTGACCAAAATACAAAGACAGTCTACAGAATGGGAAAGGATATTCACCGAATACACATCTGACAAGGGGTTGATATCCAGGATATACAAAATACTGGTTAAACTCCACAAGAAGAAAACATCCAACCCCATCCAAAAATGGGGCAATGAAATGAACAGAAACTTTCTCAAAGAAGAAATCCGAATGGCAAAAAAGCACATGAGAAAATGCTCTACATCATTAATCATCAGGGAGATGCAGATCAAAACCACAATGAGATACCATCTCACACCTCAGAGACTGGCCCACATTCAAAAGAACAAAAGCAACCGATGCTGGCGTGGATGTGGCGAGAAAGGGACACTCCTTCACTGTTGGTGGGAATGTCCACTGGTTCAGCCCTTCTGGAAAACAGTATGGACGATTCTCAAAAAATTAGAAATTGAGCTCCCATTTGACCCAGCAATACCACTCCTGGGAATATATCCCAGAGAGGCAAAAATGTATAGTCGAAGTGACATCTGCACTTGTTTGTTCATTGCAGCACTCTTTACAATAGCCAGAAACTGGAAGAAACCTGAATGCCCAAGAACAGATGACTGGTTAAAGAAACTTTGGTACATCTACACAATGGAGTACTATGTAGCTCTTAGAAAAGATGAAGTCATGAAATTTACATACAAGTGGTACAATATGGAAAGTATCATGCTAAGCGAAATGAGTCAGAAAGAGAGGGATAGACATAGAAAGATTGCATTCATCTGGGGGATATAAAGTAACAAAGTATGAGATTAATACCCAAGAATAGCTGAGATCAGCACCAGGAGGATTACTCCATAACTTAGAGGCCAGCCGGGTATCCTAGAGGAAAGGGCTGTTCAGATAGAGAAGGGAGCACCAAATAAAGGATGTTTGGAGGATCCTCCCAGGAGGGGAGATGCATGTCGAAAGTAGACTATGGACTGAACATGTTTGCCACTCAATGCCTCTTTTGCAGACCACAACACCCAAAAGGAGAGAGAGAACACAGGGGATTGTCCTGCCACAGAGACAGGGGGGATGGGGGGATGGGGGTGGGAGGGATATTATCCATGGTGGTGGAAAATGGGCACTGGTGGAGGGATGGGTATCTGATCATTGTATAATTGAAACCAAAGCACAAAAAAATGTAAATCTACAACTTTAAAAAAAATAAAATAAAATAAAGGGGAAAAAAAAAAAGAAAATCTGAGCAAAATATAATGCCCAACGAAATGCACCTGGACTGTGTATTTAACTATGGTGCTATGCCACCCTGGGAGGTGAAGGGTGTCTGTCCCTGCACCTGTCCCCCATTGCGGTGGCGGCATGGTGGCCTGCATCATTTAGAGCCTAATGAACAGCCAGGTATGAGACTGCACTGACGAGGCACATGAAGCTTCACGGGATGGGGGGGTGGAATCAGCTTTGCTCCCCGCCATGACAATGCTCTGGATTGCTACTCTAAAACACCTCCTCTGGCTTCTGACTGACCATGAACCCACAGGCACACATACCAATCTCAGAACCCAGGGGCTTCTGGCAGTAGTCCCTCTAGGTTTATTACTAAAATATCAGAAATCCAAATTCGCGTGGCCACTATTGTGGCCACACGACATCATATGCTCTTCATGATCAGTAATAGAAAACAAATTATCTAATGATGTTTTTGTAGCAGGTCTGAATGTTGGGGGAAATTCCAAATAACAATGTTGGGTCTTTTGTCATAAAACTGAATGTGATCAACGCAGAGAGAGAGAGAGAGTAAAGTAGAAATCTGCCACATAGACTGGGGGTGGGTGGGAGGGGGGGTATACTGGGGTTCTTGGTGGTGGAAAATGTGCACTGGTGAAAGGATGGGTGTTTGATCATTGTATGATGGACCGAGACTTGAATTGAAAGGCTTTGTGACTGTGATTCAATAAATAAATAAATAAATAAATAAAAATTATGTTGGCAGCTACCAGGAATAGTTAGCAATCAATAGAAATTAATGATAAAATTTACAAATATTCATTATTCCTGAAAAAGAAGTAATATTTGTTTTCTGTTTGTAAACTGTGATTTTCTGTTATTTGTGAAACTGAAAATTCCATGAAATTATGAATCCTTTCTGATTTCCTCCAATCACTGTTTGCAAACTGTGAGGGTATCAGGCACAGAGAGATAGTACTAAAGAACGGTAGGGTGTTTGCCTTGAATGTGCCCGATTTGATCCCCAGCATGCCCATATGGTTCCCTGAGCCAACAAGGAGTGATCCCTGAGTGCAGAACCAGGAATAAGACCTGAGAACTCCCAAGTGTGGGTCCAAAACAAAACAAACAAACAAATAAAAGTTAGGCTACCAAGATATGGTGAAATGACAAATATATTTTCTTTAATACAAAAATCTTACAGTGTCTCAGACATTTCAAAAATGAAACTCAGCTAGAAAATATATATTGATCTCCACAGCACAGCTGAAAGATTACTGTAGCAGTTACCAATAAATCACCAATAATTTACTTTTGGTGAAGTTTAGTTTCTTCGTGTGTTCAACCAATTTACAGTTTGGTATGACAGACAAGCTTATGTGCAGTACAAACTGACATGATTAAATTAGTGTATTCAAATTGCAGTCGTCCATTCCACAGATCAATGTTAGAGCATGAAAAGAGTTTGAAAAGCCTTTAGTCTGAAAAACTGGGAAGTAGATAAAAGTTGCTTTTGACACTTCTTCACTTTTAGAAGATTGGTGGAATAGATGATTCCCCAAGTTCCCTGAGTCTATTTTCTACTTTCCATTTATTCTGCTGGAGGAAACCTGCCCCCACCTCCACCCTCACCCCACCTCCACCAAAGTGTGTTCCTGACTAAATATCCCATTGTCCTTGTCAGAAACTGGAACACACATCTGAGGGAAAGTTACTTGGGCACTGACTAGTACCTCTTAAACTATTCATAAAATCTCAATGGAATGAGTAAAGATATTACCTGTAAAAGTCTGCTCACCTGTGGCACATGAATATGAATGTAAATTGTGTGATTCTGAATAGACATTTTAAGAGAATTATAGAAGGAAGAAGATTAATGATTATTGAGTGGCAGCTCCATTTCTGTTCATATCTCACAGTGGCATCATTATCCTAGTTTCACAAAGTAGAACCAAAGTTGTTGTTCTTGATCTATTCCTCCAATTCCCTATCCTCCCAATTGAATTTGTTGACAAATCCTGACAATATTTTATCAAAAATATCTTTTGGAAGTCCTTCTACTTCTCTTTATATTGATTATATAGCAGCTGTATTTCCATTTTTATTTGTAAAACTCTAACATCCATGAAATTATGAATCCTTTCTCATTTCCTCCCATCATTGTATTTCTGCTGTGAGGAACACAGTATTAATACAAATGTGAGCAATGAATAAACATGTTAGAAATTTCACTAACCCATATGACTGACTTTGTTAAGTCTTGCCAGAAATAAAAATAATAATTATAGGGAATAATAAATATAAGCCAAAAGATGAAAGAAAGAATTAGTATGCCTTACTCAGAAGCCAAAATAGATTGACTGTAGCTGAGTACATTTTGGAAGTAAAACTAACTTTTCCTAAAAGGTATGAGGTTAGTTTTTAATACAAACAGAGTTTATGCTTAGCAAAAATCCAATATGAATTCAGATGTGATAAGGTGACCACATAGATTTGGAAGGAAGGGGAAAAGAGGGAGAGAAGAAGGGAGAAAGAAAGGGAGAAAGAGAAAGAAAGAAAGAGGGAGACAGAGACAGAGACACAGAAATACAGAGCGTTTTTAATGAGTCTCTCTAGAACATTTTTACTCAACAAAGGAAATCCCAGGCTCATTGAATTTATAGTCATCTTAGTAATATCAATGTATTATTGAATATGAAGTAAAACAATGCACTAGGGTTTCTCAATAACACCTCTATAACCATATTGGATCATCATCAGTTGTATAATTTTTTGCTGGCAGAGGTGAGGAGCAGTCTTCTCTTGTCCATTGTGTCATATTAAAAACATCCTTGTTACCCTCTAGATGCCAGTAGCTCTCAACTACCCAGCTGTGACAATAAAAAGTATTATCTTTAGATTGCTAAATATACCCTGAGGGAGGAGGAGCAAAATATCCCTCAAAGACATTTTGAGGGTTAAACAGTAGGTTAAATAGTACTCTAAAACTATTCAGTTTTAGAATGGTCTAGCATCAATCATTATAAATATTTACTCTAATGAACACATTTCATCCCACCATTTGTGTTTTTTTTTTGGGGGGGGATGGAAAGGTCACAGTTTTTTAATGTACTTACATTGAGTTCTAAAACGATTCCTAGGCAGTCGATCAGCAATGACACCACTGTCGCTACAGTAATGATGACAACTGTTATGATCGTGTGGAAAACCAATGAAAGGTTCCCATTGAAAAATACATTAGCAATTACCTGTCAAGTAAACAATATTTAACAAGAGATTCTTAGAGATAGTCAAGACTTAGTAATAGAGTATTTCATGTCATAGAACTTAGGAATATAGAACTACCAGCAAGGCAGTAAACCAAATCTTAGGTCAGCATGAATATTCTATATTTTCCTTATTATTCACATATAGACACATACCATCAATGGCAAGTATTTTTTTACTTATCTACTATGTAGGCAATAGATTATCTTACAGATCCAGAACATGGCATACTAAGGTGTGAATAAATATATTCCTCAAATATCAAAGAGACCTTGGGTAGTAACCTTATCTTCCTCTCTTGAGTATAACAAGGTCACTACTAAAACAAACTACACATTCTATTTAGATTATCTGAATGACCTCTAAGGAAGGAGTTCCTTTTGTAATAATGGATGTGTAATATCCTTTCCAAACAGGAAATTAATTTTATATAATGCAATTTGATACAATTCAGGTCTTGCCTTTCCTCTCCAAGAAAACAAAAGAATAACTGATCATTTTCCACTGATACTCAGTCTAGGAAATCAAACAGCAGTTATCTGTTTAATGTATCCCATGCTGTAATATAATTTTCAAAGCGAAAATGCCTGAATATAGGACATAATTTCTATGCTCAGGTATTAACATCCCAATTAGAGAGATCCAGCTAATATAATGAAACAAATGGAGGTAAACTCATAACAAAATTGAAAGATAACATTAAATTTTGTATTAGAAGCAGTTTCTATCTAGATCTTCTATCTAACACCATCTAGATCTTGGTTCCCTAATTAGTTTTATAGTATTTCTGATATTTTATTGTATAATTTTTGCTTGATATGACTTCAAACATAGATGCAATATAGGCCAGGTTGAAACAACAATATGAAAAGGGGCAGAGAGAGATGATAATAATAGATATCTAAGAAGACATGGATGAGGTCAACTGAACTGGGACGTGACTGTGCAAAAACAACAATAGGACCGAGCTGGAAAGGGTAGGAGATGATCAGGTGTTGGAGACATTAACAAAGTCACTCTTTCCAAGCTGTGATCAGCAACATTCTCCACAGACTGGGTCCTGCCTCACTCTACCAACAATTTAATGGCAATACAAGACATTTTATCATTTATGGTTTTCACTTAAGATTAATAAAACTTTAGTATTTTTCTGACTTTTGTCTTACAAATTTTAGTTTTGGGGGTTGGGAAGATAGTTTGAAGTGCTAGAGTACATTTTTTGCATGTGTGAGACCCTGAGTTCAATTGTTGGTATTGCATATTCCTATCTGCAGCACTGCTAGGCTTAGCTCTGGTGATCGCTAAGTACTTTGGGGAATGGTTCCCGGGTCCAGGAGCATGACTGGGAAAGTTTTCCCCAAATTCACTTTTCTGAATATCTTTAGGATGTGATTTTTTTATATATGTATATATTTTATATATTTTTATATGCATATATATGCTCCTGTGCATATGTATGTACACACAGATACATTCACATATGCATGTGAAAAATCTAATGAGTGATACTTATTAGGGATAGTGGGCTATTTTTGGCATCTTTCTAAGTGGTTGGAAATATTACCTATGAACAGCTGTGGATTTGATTGTGTTTATGGCAACTGTAACATGCACAGTGCATTATGCTAATATAGTGCATGTGTGTGTGTAGGTGGGTATTTAAGAGAAGAAAAAGAAAGAAAGAGAACTGATAAGGTATGCACTTGAAGTTTCTCTGCTTAGTATCTGCTACATGACAGAGATCTTGATTTAACTCTGTCTTCCTGCTGTAGCTGCTAGAACGGAAACACACATTATGAGTACTGAACACATAACATATGCAGATGGAATGACTCAGATTGTCCACAAGCAGTTCACCAGAAACCACATGAGAATGTACCATCTGTTATTACTAATCGAGAGATCAGATTTGGACCGAACATACCCGGCAAAAGTTGAAATAATGCCATTTCCTCAATCCAACAATAGCAGAAATTTTAAAGGCTCTTATATTTAAACAACAACAACAGCAACTAAAAACACCACTTATGTGAAGTAAACCTCAGTTCAGTCTACTTGGAGAACTAGACAGTGGGTTATATATTTGTAAGTAAAGACAAGTGTTTACTGTGAAGGACACATATAGGGCTGATGCCACGTTCCTTCAAGTTCCTTATCCCTAGAATTGACATAAGGTAAGCCCTGGTCAGCTTGGAGAAGCCTGCCAATTAGTTACCTAGAGTTTTTAAAACTCTGTAGGCCTTCACATCACACATTAGACCTATTCACACAGCACTGTGGGTAAACAGCCTCTAGGAATATATCCTAAGAAAGACTAAGCCCATTCAGAGTGGTTCCTAAAAGAACCACTGTGGAGCAGTATCATGTTTTCAACTGGTACGTGGATGTTAATGCTCTGTATAAGGGATTCCTAACCACCCCAATTAAACACAAAAGGAATTCTCTTTCAGCTAAGCATCTTTCAAAAATTCAGCAAGACTATGCATAGAACATAAATTGGGTTGACTTTATAAAGGAACTAGAAACAATATCTTATTTATGATTGTATATAAATATGCTTTATACATAATATGAATGATACATATCAATAAAAAATCCTTAAAATGAAGTCTTGTTTTTGCATGAAAAATAAGATTTCTGAAATGTTCTTTTTTGGGAGTGAGGGGGATTTGGATCACACCTGGCTATGCTCAGGGTATACCCCTTTTTCTGTGCTCAGGAAATGCTCCTGATGGGGTTCAAGAGATCACCTGCAGTGCTGGGGATTGAACCTGAGCTAGCTATGTGAAATGAAATGCCAGTGCCTTTCCTGCCATACTCTTTTTCTGGCACTTTTAAAAAATATCTTATAAAAATATATATTAACTTTTTGAAAAGAGTATTGCTAGGGAGATAGCACAAAGGACTGGAGCATGCTTTACAGGTGGGATACCTGTGTTTGATCCTCAATACTGCTGGTCCCTCTAACACCACCTGCAGTGATCTCCAAGCACTATGCTAAGAGTAGCCCCTGAGTACCACCAGGAGTGGACAAAGACACAAAACAAAACAAGACTAAATGTAATCAAAATCTGTTCTACAATGCCTTTAATGCATATTCACTTATAAACTATTTTAGTAAAGAAATAATTTTCTAAAATACTTTTGAAAACTTAGGGCTGGAGCAATAGCACAGCGGTAGGGCGTTTGCCTTGCACGCAGCCAATATGGCCGACTCGAGTTCGATTCCTCCACCCCTCTCGGAGAGCCCGGCAAGCTACCGAGAGTATCTCGCCCGCACGGCAAAGCCTAGCAAGGTCCCCGTGACGTATTCGATATGCCAGACACAGTAACAACAAAGTCTCCAATGGAGACGTTACTGGGCCCACTCGAGCAAATCGATGAACAACGGGAGGGCCTTTACTTTACTTTACTTTACTTTACTTTTGAAAACTTAGTACTTTTATTTATTTGCAAAAAATGTTTTATAGGCACTTATTTTGGCTCTATTAAAGGATGCTATTCATTGTGTAATGGAGTTGTGTAAATATTTATACTCATGCAAAAATATACTAAATTACCAAGCATTTTAAAATCTGACTTTCGAAAAACTGTCTTGGAAACATTTAAATTTATCTTTAAGGTCAGTGACAAAAAAATGTTAAAAAGTATATTGTTTTCTGTGTGCTTATGAGTTTGCATAACTGAATTCTTTACAAATTTTCATCAGAGACCATCTATATAAAGTGTTGCAAAGGAATTGTGCTTACCTCTCTAGTCACAAAGCATTCGATTGGGTATGTTAAAATGATAGTGACTCCATAACAAAACCTTCCAAATGTTACCAGGTCATCATTTCTGCAATAATTTTCAAATAAGTCTCCTAGGTAATAATATGAAACATATTTTTTAAAAGACATTGAAGATTTGAGATACACATTTAATAAATGAGATTACTCATTACATAAGTGAAACCATATAGACTTAATTTAATGACTAGAACAGATTGCCTATCTAAATAGGCCTTTACAATCAGTGGCTCCTTGATTATTTGTTGATAGTTCATTTTCCACTTGATTAATTCATTACTAAATACTTTTTCTTTTTGTTGATTTGGTAGATCAGTCTTAAATTTGCAGCAATTTTTGAAAAGTACTTTCTCCATTGTTTTCTTACACTAGAATCAACTCCCTAAATCCTGGTGCCTGGATTTTAATTTCTGGTCTTTGTTTCTGCTAAATGACTTCATTTTTTAAAAGTCTCATAAAATAAACAAATTTCCTTTTGAAATGCTATTCTTAGCTGAAGTACAATTATGAAGGGAAAAGTAGACCAATACATCTGGGGAGCTGAATTTCCTGTATATCATGCTATGGAGTTTAATCACAAATTCAGGGCCACCACAAGAAATTCCAAACATGAATTATCTTTCATGGCATCCAGTGAATCTGAGTTTAAAATGGCTAGTTAAAAATATATATAAAAATACATTTACTTTTCTCAGAAAGAGCATTAAATTTAATTGGTCCTAAAGTAAACAACAGATCACATACTCCTTGAAGCAATTCTTATTAAGAGATGATGTTTTCTCAGACACCAATGCCTAAATTTAGGCATTTAATGAGAGCAAAGAAGTTACGTCAAAAAAAAAAAAAAAAACAAAGAATGTTCTCATGGGCCTGGGAGATATGCAGGGAATAAGGGAATAAGAAACTTGGTTTGCATGTGTCTGACCTGGTACCTGGTTCAGTCCCTGGCACTGCATATGGTTCCCTGAGCTTTGCCTGAAGTAAATCCCTGAGCAAAAGCCAGGAGTAATTCCTGAATGTCACTGGGTGTGGCCACCTCTCCCTAAATGCGATCCAAAAAGTTCCCCAATGTCAAAACAGGCATACTTTTGCTGGTTTATTTCCTAAACATTACTTACTTGTATTTCAATTTTGAAGGTCATTTGTCAATCAGACTAAATAGAAAATTAGATTTGTTCTTTTTTTGCATTTGGGGGCCTTAGCTCCTGTACTCTTTCTCTGGCTCCTGAATTGAAAGTTAGATAAGAGTCTCACATTATATAATGCTGTTTAGGGAAAAAAAAAACTAATATCACATTTCTATACAGTTTTCAATGAAATTTTTATTCAAAAGCCAAATGACTTATCTTTCTCTGGAATTGCTTTAAGTGTTTCCTCTACCTTCCCCAATCAATGAGGAATGTTCATTAGGTTTTAGTGTTTCTTTGGGAGCTAAAGGAGTTTCAACCATAAAGAAGTAGAGGCAAAAACTGGTATCAAGGTTGAATGAAAAGTTTCTAGCACGCTGTGAAAGTAAAAGGAGTGAAGCTCCCAGTGAACCAATCTCCACTAAAACACAGGCCTAAATCTTTACAAAAGTCACTTACAAAAGTCTGTTACCAGCAATTTATCCACTGAAAGTGAAGCACACTGTTTGCACAAACAAGACCAGATATGCTTAAGGTGATATGTGCTGAAGAAAATAATGTCAGGTACTCCAGATTTAGTCAAATGTATTTTAGGCTATTATAACTAGAAACACAGGCATCTACACACCCACACACCACCAACACCAAAACCAAACTGTCCGCTTCGTTATATAAAGATTTAAATTGTATCTAAGCAATTCCTACTAATAAAAACACCAGGAAAGTATGACTAAGGAAAGTGCTTATGTCATGTTGAGAGAGCAATTAAAAACCAAGGTTTTATACAGATCAAAGCTAGAGGCCATCTGAGTTGGCAAACTATGAAGCAATAGTGATACACAGCAATGTTTTGTAACAATTTTTTATCAAGGCTTTCAAAGTCACTTTGTTACTGTTCTCTAAGGGCACACAAGATGCTATTTTTCTGATTATCTGTAATTATATTAAATGTTCTTTCTTAGCCATTTCTATTTCTTAAGAAATCTGTTCCTATAGTCATGGTCATCCTTAACCTCAGTTTGATATAATGCCCTATCTCCTGCGAATCAAGTTTGAAAACTAAACTCTTAGAATGTAAGAGACAATTTTTAGTGCTACTGACTAACATGGGAGAGGCACCAAGACGGCACCAAAAAGACTTGCACCCTACTTTGTCATCAGCTGGCTTAGGCAAGTTACTTTACCTCATTGTATTTTAAGCAGGGAGTAAAACTAGTTATTCCACTCACTTTCGTGGGGTTGCTTGAAGGTCAAATGAGATAACCGACCTGCAAAAGCTTCGAGCTGTGTGAATCACAATGCAGCAAGTTGGCAGAGACTATCACACCCTGAATATTACACCACATAGGTGAATAAATGCAAGGGTAAAAGGAAGACAAGAGCTAATCCCTCAGGTGTTGGAACAGAGAGGTAAGTTTTATCTGGATTTGGAGGACTACATTGGGTAAGGAGGTGGAGGAAAAGGAATGTTTTCTGAGAAAAAGGAAGCTTTTCTTTAAACTAAGAATAAGCAGATAGAAATGTCCTATTGATAGAGACCAAAGATGAAGTCTGATCTATGAGTTTAAGCAATGCAAAATTTGGAGAATTCTACAGAATTTATTGAAAGTATTTGCCTGATTAAGAAGGAAGGAAGGAAAGAAGGAAGGAAGGAAGGAAGGAAGGAAGGAAGGAAGGAAGGAAGGCACCAAAACCCTAGGAAACAGAAGGAGCAGAGAGACAGCAAGGTAGAAGTGAGAATGGTAAATGAAAGATAATCTTTTTAAGTAGAGAATTTTGTATAATTGTACCAAAAATGATAAGGGATAGTACCGATTACACCTGAATACCAAATACGATTAAACCAAATCTCTTATTTTACCTTGAGTGAAGCCAGTAAATGTCAAGTATCCACATGTAGCAAAGAGAATACAAATGAATAAAGAAATCGCAGTGGACACATGAATGATGCGGGAAGGAAGGAAGGAAGGAAGGAAGGAAGGAAGGAAGGAAGGAAGGAAGGAAGGAAAGAAGGAAGGAAGGAAGGAGAAAAAAAAGTAAAGGGCCAGAGTAAGGGGCCAGAGTACAGCAGGTAGGGAGCTTGCCATGCAAATGACAAGCCTGGGCTCGCTCCTTGATATCCCAAATGATTCTCTGAGCACCACCAGGAGTATTTCCTGGGTGCAGAATCCAGGAGTAACCCCTGAGCATTGCCAAATGTTGCCCCAAAACAAAAAAGCAAGGATCCAGGGATGGAGGAAAATGAGAGGGAAAGGAGAAATACATGGTGAATCTCTGGAAGAGAAAAAGAATATCAACAAATCAAGTGAGGGCATGGGCAGAATTCATTCTTCTATGAGAATAGACTGTTCAGAAAGGAGAAGTGACTCTGAAAGCTCTGTGAGTCTATAAACCTATATTATCTCTGAAAAGTAGAAGCATATTGGTGTCTTGGAAAGTAAAGTTTCAGTAGGCTAGTGGGGTGGGAAGAATTCATGTGTAAACAAGGTCATCAAGAGCTTAATTTCTGAGGAGTGTCCATATTGTTTTCCAAAAGGGCTCAACCAGTGACATTTAAGGCAGTGAGGAAATGGTGGGGGAAGCAGCTTCAGAGGAGTAGGACAATGGTGAGGGGAAGCAGACACTCTGGGGGAAGGGGTGGAGTTGGAGCAATGATGCATGGAACCTATCATTAATAGTATTATAAATCACATTAACTGCAATAATTTTTTTTAAGTGTAAGCACGGAAGGAAAGAGAATGGACTACAGAAATAACTGTTGCAGTATAAAAAGAAAAAAAAACCCCTAGGAAACAGAAGGAGCAGAGAGACAGCAAGGTAGAAGTGAGAATGGTAAATGAAAGATAATCTTTTTAAGTAGAGAATTTTGTACAATTGTACCAAAAATGATAAGGGATAGTACCGATTACACCTGAATACCAAATACGATTAAACCAAATCTCTTATTTTACCTTGAGTGAAGCCAGTAAATGTCAAGTATCCACATGTAGCAAAGAGAATACAAATGAATAAAGAAATCGCAGTGGACACATGAATGATGCGGGACCACTTAGCAACAGAGGGGTCTTCCAAAGAACCATAAACTAAGAAGCAGTTATGGTGGCAAATAAATGCTGCAATAAAAAGAAAACATTACTAAAGTAAACACCAGAGTCCTCATTCTATTTTGTTGGTAAGTCAATGAAATGAAGTAAAAAAGTAATAATTTATTTTATATGTGAGAAAATAATTTCTCTAACAGCTGTAGGGATGAGAAATTTCATCCACATTGGGCTTATGTGGTTTCTTCATGTCAGTCTTGACACAAACCATGTCTAACCAACTTTCTTTCACATTTTCTGTTTAGTATAAGCCTTTCCAGTCTTAAAAAGAATCTAAACAACACCATATTTAAGTCTATGGTCTCCCTTTTAATTTGGGATAGAGAAGGGTGGCATAAAATATTTGGCCAATTACTAATGCAGTATCTCCTAAGTTTTGAAGAAGCCCATAACACCTTATAAATTATCAACCTAAGAAATATGATGCTTTAATGAGTTATCTGCATGGAAAAAAAACTTGCCTAAGTTGAAGCAAATTTTACAGATGAGTAAGAAAAACTTGAGCCTAATTTTATGTTGGCACACACTAACTAGATCATATGCTGCTAATAGGAAGTCTAAAATTTAGGACATCTGCTCTCTAGACACAAATAGGAAACAGTACTTTTTCACTGTGTAGAAGACTACATGATGAGAAATGGCCTTTGAAACCATATTATACTTACCAAATGACATAACTCCAACAGCCTGAATGGCATTAGGTTTTGCAAATACCCAGGCATCTTCTGTTTTTGGACTAGAAAAAGAAAGTATATAATTACATGGACATACAAATTCAAGCACAAGCATATCAGAGAATAAGAAATGGTGCCATCATGTAAATTGAGCACTTATATTAATAAGCCAGATACTAACAGAGACCCCTATTAATCTTATTTAATTACCTATTTCATGGAAATAGCAATGTTATCTATTAACCTATTAACCCCAGCCCTCTAAAATGTATGTCAGAGATTCATGGTATGGCTAAGTGGCAAAACAGCTTGCAAGTGTGAGACCTGAAGTTTAACCTAATTGCTGCCTGTTTCCAGTGTGATGCTGGAGGCTCTGCTATCTGGGAAGTCTTTCATTGCTACAGAGTTTAATTTCTGCTGCACAGTTAAATGTATGTGAGCTTAACAACTAAAATGTCCACCACAATCAAATATGCCAGAACCACAGTCAAGTGAGTGTGTGACTTCCAGTCATCATAACAAAAACATCAAAAAGAACAGGTTTCTAAAGTTCTGAAATGGTTAGAAAATATAAAGGGGCAGGAGAGACAGTGCAGGTGATTGCCTTGTATGTGGTAAACCTTGGTTCAATCCCTGCCACTATATAAGGTACCACAAGCAACACCAGGAATGATTACAGAGCACAGAGTCAAAGTAAGCCAAAGCACCACTGAATGTGGTCTCCAAATCCCACAAATAAATAAATAACTGAATAAATGCATGCCAAAATGTGGACTCTTATTTTTATACATTTAAATATACATCAACTCTGTGACCTTATTTGATCAATATAACAATAAATATTTTTTATATTTGAGAAATTTACTAAGGGGGGCACAACATTTTTAATAATGCAATATTTACTCTGAACTACTCAATGTGACTCACATTATCCTCACATTTTTCCAGGTTTATGCTATTTACAGAAAATCATAATCAATATTACTATTTATCAAAGACCGTAGATGTGAATATTAGAGGCTAAATTTAACATATTCTAGGAACCTGGGCTGGAGCCATAGCACAGCGGGTAGGGTGTTTTCCTTGCATACAGCCTACCTGGGTTCGATTCCTCTGTCCCTCTTGGAGAGCCCGGCAAGCTACCAAGAGTATCCTGCCCGCATGGCAGAGCCTTGCAAGCTCCCCATGGCATATTCGATATGCCAAAAACAGTAATAACAAGTCTCACAACGGAGACGTTACTGGAGCCTGCTCGAGCAAATCGATGAACAGTGGGAGGACAGTATATTGCTACAGTGCTAGGAACCTACTCTATGATATTTCAACCTTCACAGTAGCAGTTAAGTATTATTATTTTCACTTAAAACATTATGAAAATTAAGCTCTGGACAGGAATATAACTTGTCAATATCCCCTAGATATTATGTGAGGAAGTCGAGGTCAGTCTTCCTGACCTGTATGTCTTCCATCCAGAATTATCAGAGGCACCACATTTCCAAGTATGAGTCCACTTCTCAGAGTGATTTATACTTTATGTAGCTTAAAGAAAATGTTATCAACACTTAAACATTTGTCAGCCTGTCTGTGATGCAGCTTGGGCTCCCTGGTGAGCACATCCATGAGTCACGGTAAAGGAAACTGTGTTCAGGGTCTGACAGTATGTGTTAGTCCTCTGACTCCATGGACAAACTTACTGTGTGACCTGAGGTAAGCTCCCCAGCCTTTTCGTGATTCAGTCTTTCTATATATAAAATGGGATATAACAATAGCTGTACATAATGCGTTGTGTTCTTGTGTGAAATGAATAAGATAAAAATGCGTGGACCCTCTGAGAGAGGCCTGCATATAATGTGGCCAGTAATGACAAGTATTATCTTTGTATTCATGCTGTGCTTATTATCCACTGGCCTTGAACAAAATGTAGGAAGAAAGAACTTAAAGTATGGCCAGCTTCCCTGAAATGGAGAGATAATAGCAAGATCCAAGAGAAAAAGAAACAGGGCAGAGGAGGGTCTTAGAAAACATAAAAGCAAGGGTACAAACATTTCTTTCAAAAGTTTTGTCATTCTCTCTGGAGAGACAAATAATTCACTTTTTAAAAAATGACTTGACTTTATATGGTTTATATGTTTCCATATTTAAAACATGCTATTACACACACAAAGGAACTAGGGAGCTCTGAGGCCTGGCTGTTGGGAGGCCTATACAGATTGCAAGAATGTTTTGAGTGGAAGCTGCTGCCACCTACTGCCTCACTACTGCATGATTGCAGTTCACCTGATCAATCCTTAACTCTAGCCCTTACAAATGACTTAAGAGAGGGAGTGAGGATAATTATACAAACTTGAATATTTTGATTTTTAAAATATGTTTACATTACACACTTTTCTTTCTAGAATTATTTTCATGCGAAAAACATTCCCCTTTCCCTTTAGTCATTCTCTCTTATATAAATAATGAAGAGGCAGAAGTTTTGATTTTTAACTTTCCTCCTTCCATTTAAATTCAAATCGTTTTCCTGATCCACATGGTTTCTTGAGTATATATTACTAGATGAGATGAAGAGTGAACTGATACCTAGAGATAATTTTGGATTTTACATGTTTATGTTAAGATGCTGATTTTACAAAGTAGAAAGTTGCCCCCCCCCCAAAAAAAAAGTTACACAGAAGTGAAAAAAGTGTTTCAGAATCTAGGGAAGAAGAAAAAAATCAAATCATTTCTATAATCTTTTATAAAATAGTCTGGGATTAATTCCCTAGAAATAGCTGGTTTCACAGGAAATAAATAAGAGAAAGTCCCTTGGTGAATTTTATGAGGTTGCTGAAATTTTGATGCCCAACATGGATGAGAAAATAAAGTTACAGACTACTCATACTTTGGACTTTATATGCTGAAACAGAACATAACATAAAATGCAATAAAACATAATATAAATCATAAATAATAATTTTAAAATACCCAGTTAAGTGAATCACAAAAAATCTATCAATATAATTTTAATTTAGAACATTAACAGATTAAAGAATAAAACTTTATGATCTCAAAATACAAAAAAAATTCTACAATCCAATGTTTATTTTGCATACAAGATTAACAAGCTATTAAAAAGACATAACTTCCTTAATATGAAAAGATTATTTACCAGAACATCTAGCAAATGACATCTTTAAAAGTGGAAAGCTAAGGAACAGGATGTAGCTTAGTATACAGTGCATGCTTTTGCATGTGTGGGGCTCTGGGTTCAATCACCAGGACAATAAAAACAAAATGAGGAGTGTAATGTTAAAAATATTTAATGGGAAAAAAGGATATTCTCTTACCTTTCAGAAATATACAAACTGTAATTCTTAGCTAATATATTAAAACACAGTGATAAGATATAGAATTCTTGGAAAGGAATAAAATATTTGGGCATAATATAATTATGCACATAGAAAATTCAGGTGGATCTAAGTTATTGGAGTTAAGAAGAGTATTAGCAAGATAATTGAGTAATCATTAAGCCAATATGGTTGATGGAGAGAAATAACTGCTAATTAAAATATTTTTTAAGTCGCACAGATAACAAATACTAAATATTTCGAAGTGTATACATAATCCGGTTCCAGCCACAGCCATACTTAAGACCACTCTCCACACGTGCGGACGAGCCTCACGCATGAAGGAACCAGTAGAGGAACCCAGGTGTGCGGGACTCGGGGCGTAGAAATCCAAGCCTGCTCAGACTGGGGCTGGGCCTCCTCCACCAAGATCCCCCATCTTCCAGTATGTAGGCGTTACACCCAACAACTGCCCCCGGCACCGTGTAATCCCATCAACGGCCAAGACCCAGAGACTATAAAATCCAGCTCCAGGAAGTTTATTATCTAGTTCTTACTCTGGAGAATCTGGCAGGCTACCAAAAGTATCCTACCCACACAGCAGAGTCTGGCAAACTCCCCGTGGTGTATTCAATATGCCAAAATCCAGTAACAATGATGGGTCTCATTCTCCTGACCCTGAAAGAGCCTCAAATGTGGCACTTTCTAAAATCTCAAGGCTAGGATGAAGGAGACATTACTGGTGCCTGCTAGAGGCAATCAATGAACAACAGGATGACAGTGATACAGTGATACATAATCTTAATAAACAATGTAATTTTATTGAAAGATATAAGGGACTGTGGATAGATATACCATATTCACATATATTAATGGGGAAATTTAGTATCATGTTAATGCCAGGTTTTTTCTAATTAATTTTTATTTTAAATTAATTGATTTATTTTGTACTTTGGTTTTGGGGGCACAGCCAGTTGTGCTCAGTACTTACTCCTGACTCAGTGCTTAGGGATCACTTCTGGGGAAGGGGGAGAAGGGAGTGCTAGGGAGTGAACCGGGGTTGGTCACATGCAAGTCAAGTGACTAAGACATTGTAGAATTCTAACTAGCACCTATTTTAAATTTTAAATATTTAATGTTATTCAGGTAACATGGTTATAATATTTAATATCACAGTGTTATAACATCGTGTTAATGTTTATAAAATAAATTTCACTCTTTACTTTTGGCATACCTTCATTTTACTGTAACTTCAATAAACACCAAAATGCCAAAGGCCTTCCACAGATTATTTAAATTTAAAGATTAAAACATGCTTTTGAAGCAGAAAGGTATTTTTTTAATTTCTCCATCCCAAAGAAAAGTATATTTAAAAAAAAACAACCAAGCCATAAATGTAAAATTAAACAAACTGGATAAAATCAATATAAGACATAGAGTGCTGTATGGAAAAGAAATTTATATTCATAGTCAAAAATCATTAAGGTAAGTTAACAGCTGGGAGATGATTTTGTCATGCATATAATCATGCTATATTATATACTCCTCCAAGTCCATTTGAATATATAGTCCAATAAACAATGAACAAGACACAGTTTATGGAAAAGTAAACAAGAAAGGAAAACAAATATGCTATGAGTTACTAAAATTCTTTAATGGAGAACCCTAATGAAGTCTGTAAAAAATGGGCTTGATGCACTGGCATCAGACAGTCCCTGAGCATCACTGAAAGGAACCTT